CACACCGTCTGCTCTAAAAAAGCTTTTATTCTGATGAAGTTATGGGGCTTTTACTGATAGTTCCACTATACCCAAAATTTAGAAAATTAATGAAAAAATGCATGACAACCGATAGAAAAAGTATTATTTCGCTGTGGCTTTTAATGTGAAAAAATTTGAAGTATAGCTAAAAAATAGAGCGAAGTCAGGGCTACAAAAGGGCTAGTTCAGTTTTTCTTACTTTCAAAACGTTAATACACGACATCATTTGTGAGTTTAGGAAGTTTACATTTTTTTCGACTTTCATCTAATTGGCTTAGTTTTCTTGATTAAAGCTCTGAAATTATAGTTTAGTTATGATTTTGTAGAGAATTTCACAGCGCATCTTTTAAAAAAAACATCGAGTCTCGGAAACAAACCGAAACCAAGTTATAAGCAAAATATTGAGAGGGACATTCTTTATGGGTCACCCGTTATCTAATATTAGGGTTTATTTTGCCTAAATTCAAAAAATAACAAGATATTTGCTATAAAGTGATAATACAGAAACGTGAGAAAAACGTAATATGTATGAAATGAAGACGAAAGAAACATGAAATATACTCATTTAACTGTTATTAGTTGTATGGTAATCGGTGAGCCGTTCACAACTACTTGAAAAAATACGCAATGTCGAATCTAATACTAGAGAATTAGAAAGTTTCTTCGATTCCTTCACAGTTCTCATCAGAAACAATATTCCTAGTATTAGAGTACTAAAGATCGGTACACTAGTTGTTTCTTGCTGAATTGTGTGACATCTCTAAGTTTGATTATCCATGGGGAGAGGATGCCTGTTGATGGATGAAAAATCATCAACTAATCCGTTGGTTAGTGGAGAGACAACATATTTCGAACGTACTATGGGTACGTGATAGGTTTGAATACCGTGAAGAGATGCAAAGTTTAAATTTAAAAAGAATCATTAGTCTAGTTGTATTTTTGTTTGATTTATTTTAGTTATATCGAACTCATTAGTGATATAATTCGTCGTTTACATTTATTATTATCGTGTCGTTCATCGTGTCCAGTTATTAAATCATGTCTCGAAGTTATTGCTGATGGACTAGAATTTGTATTTGATATTAAATCAATAAATGTAAGTCATTTAAAAACGAATTTGAAAATAAATACTTGATCTTTGTCAATGTTTTTTAGCTTTGTCAAGTTATTCCAACATTATTTAACAGTGATAAAAAACATTTTAATGATATTGACAATGATTTAAATAAAATGAGAGAACAGAATATAACGATTATTTCTGATAATTCTCAAACATCGAGTGCTGATGAATCAACAGCATTACTATTTAATGATGAAAATACAATCAAATGTTTGTCAAGATTATACAATTTTTATAATATTAATAGTGAACAAGTAAGTGTAGTTTTGAAACATTATTATTTATACCTTTTATCTATATACATTTTTCTTAAAGATAAATCAACATATTGGTGAAAATCATGTTTCGATTCTACTTCCTATTCATCATTCGTTGCTTCAAATACGTCAGTTATTAAAACCAATTCAGTTATTATCGTCCACAGATCATTTAATATCTTCTACAAATTCATCAAATATATTTACCGATACAACTTTGATATAAAAAATAAATAGATATTATTGTCAACTGTGTCAGATATGTTTTTATTTGTTAATAATAATGATAAATAAGTATTTTTTGTTTGTTTTTGCTTCTTTCCATGTCTGAGACAGAGAAAGAGAGTGTGAGTGTCAGTGTGCATGTTTTTTATATTATTAATAAAATAGACTTTGAATATCATGAAAAACGTATCTACAGGGGACCAGGAAGACTGTCGATGATAATTTAAAGAAAAATGGACCAGATTACATGACGTGTTTACATAATATTTTATTGTTTAAACGTTAAGTTAACCAGATAAAAAGTGAAACTATAATCGGTGTAGAAAAAAATGTTACAATTGTTAATATTTCACCACTTTGTATCGAGAAAGATATTGCATGTCGAGGAGCATACATTGTTTAGAGCTATTTCAAGGCTGCAGTATGATGGAAACATATGGAAATATTCCTGCTAGAGAAGAAAATGTTTAGTATTGAACGATGGTCATTTTGTCTACGAAAATTTAAGGGAAAAAGCTATTTTGAAGATATTACTTTTTCTTATTGAAAAATTTCACTTTTTTTAAAAGAACTTTTTTTCTGAAGTTTTTGGTGGAAAATGTTCCGTAGAGAAAATGACCACCGTTCAACGTTAAACATTTTCTTCTCTAGCATGAATATTTCTAGATGTTTCCTTCATACTATAGTTCAGTCTCATGTTCTATATCCTGATCGGGATTTATACATTTTGAATAAAAGTATATTCCAATCAGGATACAGCCCAATCGGAATATAAATCCATTTTTTTTAAATAAAATTCCTTAGCGAGAAAATGATGATATTCGCGGAAAGTTTTAACATCACCATGAGAAAGAGGAGAAAAAACTACGGTAGATTCTTTTTTTCTCATGGTTAACTCTTTTTCTCGTCAGCGACCTTTTTTCAAACAAAAGTGACTACTCAAAAATCTATAGATAAAATCTATAGATTTTTGAGTATAATTCGAATCTGCTATCGCTCGGAGGATACCTCATCCTTTTTTCGGTTGATTATTCCGCTACTAGTCTTGACAATGATTTTATGATAATCATATTACAACTGATCCCCACACTTAGCTGGAATTCGTCGGCTTCGAACTCTCGGGTTCGAACTCATAGTCGGACAAAAAAGAAAATTTCCAGATCCAAACTTTCTTTTTTTAGTACCCAAACAGACCGAAAAAATGTTGCACACAAAAAGTACCCAAACAGACCAAAAAACTATGCTTCAAAACTATGCGTCGATGTTTCTTCACAAGACCTACATCTATTGTCCTGAGTAACTCCCTGTCTATTCACAAGAACTTCATGTTTTCTCTAGAGAAACTCGATGTTTCATCACAAGACCTTCCTCTTTTGCCTTGAGAAACTCGATCTTAAAGAACTCGATTAATTAAAGACTTGCAAAATTCTGTGACCTACACGGTTCTCGCTAGTAACACATAATTTCTAAGAAAAAAAATGCTCTTATCTTCCTTTTATTTGACTCACGTGAAATATATGAGAAGGTTGTATATCTCAGCAACCGTGTTTTGTCTATGATCTCAAGACATAAAACAACAGATCTTTTTGCGGAACTGTGCAGTCTATATAAGAAGAAAATCTGCCATTAGTTGTTAGTTGAAAAGTGAAAGTTAAGATAATGAAATTTATATTTATTGCACTATTTCTTCGTAAGTACTTATTTGAAAACACTAAATCTAATAGTAATATGCATTCCTTTGTTCTATTAGTTGCAATAATAACTCTATGCTTTGGGATTATTTTGACTCGTGATTGCTACTATTGTCATTCTGATTCAAATCCAGAAGCTTGTGTTGAAAATATTAATCCACTAGTAGTACCAATATCCACAGCGCATTATGACTACCCCAGACAACGAGCAGTATGCTATGTAAGTGTTTATTCACTGCATTTAGGCGTCTTATTTTTTATGCCATTTAAGTAAAACAGAATAATGCTTTTTACTTCGACCTTTAAATAGAGAAGTTCATCAGGTCTGAAGTTTTCGAATCCACACTCAAGACCCTAGTCTTCGTCTTTGAATTCAACTTTTCTAATTCGAATCTGCTATCGCTCAGAGGGTACCTCATCCTTTTTACGATTGATTATTCCGCTACTAGTCTTGACAATGATTTTATAATAATCATATTACAACTGATCCCCACACTTAGCTAGAATTCGTCGGCTTCGAACTCTCAGGCTCGAACTCAAAGCCGGACAAAAAAGAAAATTTCCAGACCCAAACTTAAATTCAACCGCGTTAGAATCCGACACAGTGGACTCAACCTTGAGAAATAGGAATTTTTGATTTGCTTTTAAGAAGTACCATGGCTCACGAAAAAAAAAGAGCTGTATTATGAGTCTATCCACGGTCCTAAAAATGCTCACACGCTTATGCTAGGTAGGCTTGAGCCTACCCAGGCCTAATGGCTCCGCCACCTACGCTAGGGATGTTCTGTAAGGCTGTGTTTACGATTTACGTACTGTACATTTTAAACTCGTTACATTATCACATTATTTTTTCTTTATAGAAAACAAAGTACATAAAAGGAAACTCTGTCACATACGATCGTAGCTGGACATATGTAGGAAGCGTCTTCTGTCCTTCTGATTCTGGCTGTCAAACGACTAGAGACGATGACGGCGAAACAAAAATACGCTGTTGCTGTAGCGACGATTTGTGTAATGATGGTGGATTTCCACCTGGTGGAAGCGCTGCACGTCGGAGTGGTATGAATATCGCTTTAGTAGTCTTAACAGTGGTGCTTATTTTTCCAGTGGTAAATATTCACATATTTTCTATATAATCCAAAGTACAATATCCACATCGTTTTCATTCATTGTATTAGTAGGACATATGTCCACTGCTCTTTACTATGAATAGGTTTTACTTTATCTCTTTAGAAAATAAAAAATGTAATCATAAAAAAGACAGATATTTAGCTGCCGAAGTTTCATCACCAACTGCCCAACCCCGTTTTCTTCAAACATATGCCTATTTAGGAATCTTGGACTTTCATTTGTAAATATAAAACAAACGTTGATCTTCTTCGCCACGCAGAGATCCTTCTTGTAAAACAGTTCTTCTTTGTCATTTCTCACAAGTCCTTCTTCCTCGAACTTCTTGAGTTTGAATCAAGTATACAACGATATCGATTACGTAATGTTCATATTCTCTCTCTATTCACAGTTTCTCAGGAGTAAAGATTAAATTATTGTAAAAAACATCGACTGTCTCAGGAGTAATGATGAAGTTCTTGTGAAGAAACATGGGGTTTGTTGTTCAAAGTCTCTCTCTATTCACTTGTATTAAAGTTGAGCTTTCTTCACATATATGAAGAATTATGTCAGAAAGAAAGTCCTTTTTGATCTACGTTGCTGATTAACAAAAGATGGTTTAACTATGTGACTAAGCCAATCTGAGAAAGATTTGTTTTTTCCTTCTCCCACTTCGTTTGATATTGCTGCATACTTCCCCTGTAAATCACATACTTTTTTTGCTGTGATTCTATTATGAAAAAATCGAAAACAGTAGCAGGTATAAATGTAAACGATGTGATGGAAAATGTCGCAAATACACGATCCAGAAGCAAGGTCAAGAACCTAGTGAAAAGCTATGATAGGTGAAACCCATTTTTAACTACTTTTACAGGAAATTAATAACAAATCTTAACTCAGTCAGCATCGTGCCAAACCACTCCAAAATTTTAATTTATACTATGGATAACTTATACTTGATTGCAGCTAAATCAGGAGGTTGAAAAAAACTTAGTTTGAAAATATAGGATTATTCTAACTACTGTTTTAAACTACTACATCTCAGCCTAGTTAAAAGTCTCTTTTGCAACTAGTAATCTATATGACAACTAGTCGCCCGATTATAGATGAAATGTATCTGGAATTTTTCCATAAGTCTTTTTATTGGGAGAGTTGGTAAAAAATAATGTTACAGTCAAGTCAGTCAAAGGAAGTAAAAAAGTATATTCACGAGCCAAACGTTTACTGTTGCTGTTGGATAAGCCAGCGAATTCCTTCATCATACTCTTGCCCTCCAGTAATGCTACACATGCATAACTTCAATTTTCGATTTGATCCATCACATAAATATCGTTCGATTCCCAGTGGTTGTACAATTTCAGTGTAACTACATGCATTCGAACAATCAATTTTATTTCCCAGTATCAGCATGGACACTTGACTCATATCATCGTCATCATCGGCTAGGCCACCCAGAATTGTTTTGCAGACTTTTCAAAAACTGCACACTGCACTACGACTTGTCTAAACTTAGAGCATGAGTACCTCAGCCAAAAATTTCTGACGCCGCCGCTAACCGCTTAGTTTTCATCATCTTCTGATGAATGACGCGTTCTTACAATGTCAGTCAACATTTCATCTACTACCAACCATAGAAGGCGGAGATGCGAGGTCTGGCCTGAGAAGGTGGACGTGTGCCATAGATTGAAACTTACTAGGTTAGGATAGATTTAAAAAGTAGTTTCTCATTTTATTAGGTTGCCATATTTATGTAGTGCACTAAAATATTTATACAAGTGTCAAGTTTCTAGCCGCCACTGACACTTTCCGAGTGAAATAGGTGTATAAATCGTCTTTGTGAACAAAATTTTATTTTGTCTATAACTAAATGTTGTGAATGAAATCAAAATTGAAACACGAAGACCAGGATCTTAAGTGTGGATTCGGAAACTTCGGACCTCACGAACTTCTTTATTTAAAGGTCGAAATTGAACAAGGACGAACACTGACGTGGTTGATTACGTACATATTTTTTTGACGTAGGCTTCAGTTTCTTTGTGGAGAAACATCGAGTTTCTCAAGAGAAAAGATTAAGGTCTTTTGAATAAACATGGGGTTTCTCAACAGAATAGATGATGGTTTTGTGAAGAAACATGGAGTTTTTCGAAAGAAAAGAGGAAAGTCTTGTGAGGAAACTTCGACTTTCGAAGCTCTATGTTTCTTC